TGCTGAGCGCGGTCGGCGTTGGCGACGGACTGGGGGAGAGCAGCCGGGATAGCATGGCCGTAGACGCGGAGTCGGCCAAAGCCGCCGTCAGGGTACATCAACAAGCGCACATGGGTATGGGGCTTTGGGTTGGTCGGATCGTAATCGTTGAGCTTGTAGCCCCGGCGTTCCTTGGGGCCCTGGTGCTGAGCCGGAAGAATAGTTGTCCAACCGGTGTATTTAGGGTCTGCGATCTCGGCATCTGTGACCTCACTGCCTTCTGGCGCATAAGTTCCCTGCAGCCCAGCTTTCTCTCCGTAGTTACCGATGAAAAAACCTGTATCAATCTCGACACCTAGAATCGCGGCACTGGCGACACCCAATTTGATCACGACCCAGTCGTAGGGCTCGGGATTGTGGCGGCGGGTTTCCCAGCCATCATACCAGGCGCCCGTATGGATGAAAACACCGGGACGGTTGATGGGGGTTGTGGGGGTGAGGAGGTTTGACGCCTTGGAAAACCATTCATTGGAACAAGAAAGGACCTTGCTGTTAAGGCCAGAGGAGGCCAAATTGGTAGTGTGCTCGAACACCTTGTCGATCTTCTCAGAGGGGACGAAAGTGATCTTATCGGCCATGGTAGGGTTGGCTGATATAGTTGCAAAAGATAAGAGAACTCTGAGTTGACCCGGGGGGTAGATTTGGGATCGAATCGAGATTGAAGAGTAGAGCAGACGCAGACAGTCTGCAGAGGAGCAAGACAGACTCCTATCTGGGGCGACGATGGCGGGCAAAATAAAGAGCAGTTGGGAGAGACTTGGACGATAAGACCCCGTGATTGATTGACGCTTTTGGCTCAATTACTCGATCTTATCGCTTCATCAAGCATCCATGTACACCTATACACCCTCATCTTGTGGATTTCCTTTAACTACTATCATGAACAGATCATTGGACTCGTCATTTGACAAGAGTGTTACCATGTTGGCTACCCCTCCACCTCCTTGTTTACTGTCATGGTTCCTTTTTTGATTCATGGTCTCCAGATAGCTCAGTCGACTCAGATTTTCATCTTCTTGTCGCGTGTCGAGTCTCCACTATTTCCAACAGACTTGGTATACTTCCTACGACTTCCTTGGGTAACACTGTTTCCAGATGATACAGGTGTTTCTTGTCTAATCATCCAACACATTCCCCTCTTTCATCCAGTGGAAAACGAACTCAAATTACTGGGAGAGGCTCATCTCTACATTGTGGGCAGACTGAAGACCAAAAGACTGGCCCTCGAAACTGGTCTTTCCTGACCACCATCGCATCCGGAAATAATCATTCTTGGGCCCAGGATGTCGGCGACAAGGTATTAGATTGCCATCACACATTACAGATGCTGATATCCTTCTGTACAGATGAATTCTATGGGACACCAGGAGAAGGGTCAGGTAAGATCCAACAATGGAGATACGTAACTAAACAGCCCAGGTTCCATCGGATACGATCGTTGCCCTTGAAAGTAGACTGCCCGGAAACTGTTACCTAGTATTCGAAACTTCACATGCGAATATCACGTACACATACTTCCTCTGCATGCGTGGGACGATCGGTGAAGACAAAGCAGCAAGGATGACCAAAGTTCTCAAGACTTGTATGCAAAGAAATGTGGCAGAGCCAAGCCGGGAATATTCACCGAACGACTAATAGGTCCAACAGGCAACTACAGATACCTCTGAAAGAAGGGACTTGCTGCCCTTGATCAGATGATGCAATGTTCATGTACCACACTATGGGTCATCTGAACCACTTCAACAACCACACAATGATAGTGGACGTATTTGCTTTCCTATTCATCCCCTTACTGTGCGTACAATGGGTGGATATCAGGGGAACCTCTCGAAAAGCCGAAGACGTGGTGGGGTTGGCACACGGCTCATCTCCTTTGCACCTATGTCCAACCACCGATCGTCCAATGGAGACAATCGGCTGACACAACTGACGCCGCTGGTCCTATGTAATGCGTGCTGATATGTAAGCTGTGAGCGATGATTGAACGGTACCGGAAGGAACAAGACACTGTTGGTTGTACAATCAACTCGGGCCGTGGCGGTCGTCTGCCAGTATTATAAGACCGTGTAACCCCGAGTGATGCTGGCTCTTGCAATCTCGGCTGGATATACCACTGTCAGTGCTACGTCTAACGTGAAAGAGAAGCCCACTTCATCCCCAAGCCGTATAGAACTCCATATTGCTGACTACGCCATAGCACGCGCTGTCTTTTGAACCGTCCAAAGGGGTTACTAGTATATACCAAGCCTTGGCGTGGTGCCTGCCATCAGGAGCAAAGGCTGCTATCGGAAAGGTAAGGACCATCAGACAGTTCATCCTGGCAAGGCGTGGCTTCAGCATCGTAACGAGAATCACCGCTGGCCCTATCGGACATTATTGACATGGCCTTTGTATACACCCTTGACACTATAACATCCAGTGTTAATATCAGGGAAGGTACCTGCTCGTAGCAAGTATCTCTCACGATGCAACGCAGGCTGACATTCATGTCTCGTACGTAGGGTCCACCACCACTCGGCAATTCTAAGGTCATACAACATACCGACAGTTAATCACGGCTATGACTTCGTAATTTTTTTGGACAATTTTGAGATCGCAAGTCAGGGTCATCACTCTCTGCACTGGAAGCATTTGTGTCACCGTTTGCTGCTTGATTGCTGATATACTGTTACGTGCGCGATGAACGGTGGCAGATCGAAGGCTAAACACTCCCTGAGTTGCTCATTAGCTGACAATCCGCTATAGAATGTCTCGTGACACTATACTGACCGCTACGCTCACTGATAATTCTACCCATGGAGCATTACGTGTCTCGGACAAGCTTGATTATTCGATTCCTGGAGCCTCCCTGGCTTCAACCGTTTCCTGGAAATAATGGCTGTACTCGCCTTCATCCAGTATATATTTCGCAGTTGAAGCATGTGGTATCGTTACAGTTGTGCCAGCCCGGAAGATTTATTATTGAATTGTCCTCCACGGCATCATCGAGCATAAAGGGCAAACCTGGGGTCATTTCGACAGCCAGTCAAGGAAGAAGGAAGCACGCGAGAAGTATCGCGATAGCCGCCATCGTCGCATGCAACATGGAAAGGACTCGAACTGCAAAAGGATTGGACCGAAAACCTGAGCCAGATAAAGACCCAGGAAGAAGGGAAGTAGGCTACCGAGATAAGCGCAGGTATAGACACAACGGGAGTTGGATGCAAAGCCAAGAAAAAGCTTGAAAACCAACCTTACTTGGCAGTCATACTGACGTGCAAAGGCACTTGTAGAGTGTTACTGTTCCTACACCCCTGTTTTGATGTGGCAACCTGGGATAGCTGCTGTGCCATGCTATGCCAGGCTCTAAATAGATTACAACCTTCTTCCTGACGCTGTCTTACCAGATTGGCAACACAACCGGAACACAAAATAATGTCTCCACCGAGATATATCCATGAATCCACACCTGATGGCACCGCATACGCAAGGACCCATTTACTCAAGCTAGGGCACATGATCAACGTCGGATGGAGGCATGAACCGCAATTCCTTATTTCTGGAGGCAAATACCTAGATGACCTTATTTTCCTCAGTCCAGAAGGGACTCGTGGAACGATGAAGGGTGCCATGGACCGTGGGACAGGGTTCTGACGGTCCCTTTTTCGTCGGAAGTGATCGACTTCGGCGCCGACCATACTGGTCATGGAATACTTTGGAACCAAAGCGTTGGCGACGAACGGATTGGATCGGCTGAACTGCCAAGCTCTGTATGTCTCATATACCAAAGTATTGATTAACTGAAAGACCTCCAGACGTGATGCCCGTCTATATTCAGCGTCCAGCAGCTCAGGGTGACACGACAACGCATTGAGCGGCTAGATACATGTTGGTCGAAGATGATCGCGAATAGGGGATTTAAAAGGATGTATTTCATAAATAGCAAAGTCAAACCCCGTCGAATCGCCCGTTTGCAAAGTTAAAAAAGAAAAAAGAAAAACCAAAACAAAAGTTTTCCTTGGTATTCATCCGTGCATTCGTTTGCCTCAAAATATGGAACCCGAGAACTGAGCTGCACCCGGGATCCCAAAGGATGTGTGGACTCGTACAGGTATCTCATTGGCAATCCACGATACATGTAGCTTGCTTCCTCGAAGTAATCTTCTCTCGGTTTCTCTTCATATCTTCTGGCCCATGTGTAACCGACGAATCGCATGGCCTCCGCCATGTTTGGTCGGCCCGTTCACAGTCTGATGCATGTAGGTTTGTAACCCCTACATATGCGAGAAACATCGCGGTGACAGCGTCTGAGCATGATAGTCGTCATTCCGAAGCCGGTGCCTTCAAGAGATACCGTGCCCACCGACCAGATTTCCACAGATAGACGCCGGTTGCGCCGGTATTTTCCAGAGGGTGGCACAATCTGGCCCGAAGAGGCAACTTACAAGTCTCTTTTCGTCATCAACAGATAAAGAATCACAAGACATTGGCACAAACGGCGCCCGACACAACAGCTCTTTCGGTGAGGAAGCATGGCTTTTCCCTCGTCCGTCTCTTCTGGTTCTCATTGGACCGTCTCGTGGACCGGGGGATGTATCCGGTGGCAGCCCCGGTATCACCATACTGGATGTCACCAGTGAGCCGCGGGGGCTATAAAGCTCCTCTACGGGGGATGATGCAAGACAGGATGGTGGACCCTTTGCATCTGAGCTTTAAAAGGAGACTGAGCTGAAGTGGTCTTGAAATTGTCACGCTGAGATTCTTCTTTTCTTTTCCCTTCCCTTCTTTCCCCATACGTCAGTGAGGGTGATATCCAGACAATTTGTCTCTCGTCTACAGAGCTTCCTATCTTCTCAGCCAGCCTCGTATCCTTCATCCCCTCCACCAGCGTCGCCTCTACCCCCACATCCAAGCTTCCATTCGCTTTGGACTAGCCATCAGAAGCGCCGCAAAAAGTCTCAAAAGCCTGAAAACCAGTCATTATGCCACCGAGATCAACTCATCAGACCTCATTACCAGAAGGCGACGGCGTTACGTACGACGAATCCGACATGGCCCTCTTTCGCGCCAAGCTTGCTTACCACTCCACCATCGAGGAGCGCATGGCATCAAGAGACACCAATCTGGTCTCCATTGCAGAGCACCAAGGCCGGCTCCTCAAACGGTGGGAGATGTTGAAAGGGGTGGAGAAAGAAATGGCAGATAAAGGCAAGAGTTTAGAGCCCGCGGAGAAGCAACAACTAGCCCAGTACGCATGGCGATTCAAGACATTGGAAGGATTAGCGACCCAAAGAGCCGGCTGACCAGAGAGGCTACGCTGGGAGCGAAAAGCGTCATCACGGAGTCATTGTGTGATAGCATTCATTGGCGTCTTGCTTAGATTTCTAGGAATAATTTACCATGCAGCTGTCTTGTCTATTTACCCATCAGCGATCCCTGGATTATGATTCTCTCGTAATCCTTTCCCCCCCCCACATCTACGTAGGTTTCAGAATGTGGATGGGGTTGCTACCACGTCGATGTCTTTCGAGACGAAATGCGTCTGCAGACGTCGTCATGGACGTAACACGCTGATGGGGTTGAGAGCGTCACAGTGCTGCATGCAGCGAATCGCTACACAGCCGTTCAAGCTACAGTGTGTCAGCGATGGGGGTGCTCAACAGCTTTCCCATCTTGCCACACTCTTTTACAATAGCACAGCACCCTGCCGTGGCTTTTGGCACCGTGAGAGGGTCTACCATAGCACCATCTGCCCAGATTACAGATCACCCCGCCTACTGTGCAGTCCGGTACACCTTGATCTCGTAGATCTTGTTGCTCTTCCAGCTAAACTCATTGAATGAAACCTGACTGGCTGTATGCTTCCCAGCCATCGGTCAGAGCTTCCCTACAACTTCCATTCAAACCACGCCAACCATGCATCTATTTACATCCAAGATACCCCCACAAAAGATAAGTCACAATCCCAACCCCCTACACAGAAAACACATCCACTAAGTAAACCGACCTCGCAATCACCCTAGACCGCCCTCCCCCTCACACAATCCGCAGGTGGGTCCTGAAACCGAACATGACATCCAGACGGCGCACACCGCGAAGGCTGCAGCAAAATCGACGGCGGCGAGCACGAGTCCCCCGGCCCCAAACACGAAGCAGACAATACCAGCGCCTTAGTCGGACCAAACTCGCTCAGAATGAAGTTCCATGGATCCTCTGGGATGCTGGCGCCTGCTTGAGTCATTCCTCTCAAGGTGAGCAGTCGAAAAACGTGGTTTTGCAGTTCTGTCCAGTCGTGGCCGAGGGGTCGGTGGGGGATGCCCAGGTTATCGGTGTATTTCCAGAGGATGATCATTAGGGAGGAGATTATCTGGGAGATCTCGTGTTGGGCCTTGGCCATTTTGGGGGATTTAGCCGGGGTCTGAAGGTTGGGATTGGATGAGGGGTATTTCAAGTTAGTGCGTGGAAGCCATGGTATTTGGGGGTAGCGTGGTGATCGCATATTGTGGGCTTTGGGGATCTGGTAGGTGGTGCTGGTTGTGAGGATAGAGTCTATATATAAATGGCAGAGATTACTAGGCTCGCGGCACGGTATTGTGTGGACTGTTCAGGTTAGTGCGGTGGTGGTTTAGGATGGTATGGCTGTCTAAGCACCATGGTATCTTTTTTTAGAACAAAGAATATTGAATCGAAGACGCGAGGTTCCTGTTGATATTGAAGTGGAGGAAGATTGCCGGTTCTGTGATATCTTAGGGATAGGCCAGCAACGTGACGACTAACTCGATTGAGAGAACCACATAGTATACCTACTTAGAGGTGCTAGCCTGAGGATGCCAACCGGAGGATCCCAATCTTCTATCGTAGTAGCGCAAAGGCTACTCTGATTCACCCCTCACGAAGGAACTAATTATCAATCGTGGCTCGGAACAAGGTTGCCGGGAATGAGGGGGTGTCCCGCTATAAAGTAATGGAAATCCCTCGGGTTCTCCTCACGGCAGGAAAACATTATACATCTTGCCCGAAGAAAATTTTAGATTGTCAATAGACTTAGACACCCTCATCATGCATACCGAAGCTCCTGAGCTCCCTAAGCTAGTCCTCCGGGGCACCCCCAAAGAGGTATGCGCATCTAACATGACTTTACCACGAGTGATGGTTATATAACAGTCGAGCAGATTGGTCTCCAGCATGGCTACCGCCTGCAGCAGCAAATTAAGTCTCAAATAGGCATCTACGAGGAGATGTTCGAGTACACTAGCAAAATGGACTGGCCTACGGTCCTCCAGCTTGCGGAGGAATTCCGAGCCTCCCTGGAGCGCAAAACGCCTAGTTTATACGCCGAGCTACAGGGCATAGCGGAAGGGGCAGGAGTAGGCATCCTGGATATCGTAGCATTGAACTGTCGGAGTGAAATATCGCTTGGGAACTTTTCAGATGGATGCACGAGTCTTTCGTGGAAAAAGAACGACAACGCGCGAATTTTGGCACAGAACTGGGATTGGACCAGCAGCATTCAGAAGAATCTAGCGTTGATGGATATTGAAATATCGGGAAAGCCGAGGATCTGTATGGTCGCCGAGGTAAGTTGCTCCGGCATCTGGAAGCACGATCAGTTCGTCTGTCTGACGTCAAAAAGGCAGGTATCATAGGAAAGATTGGATTCAATAGTGCTGGTGTGGGAGTTGGCCTTAACGCTATAAAAGCTCGACCTTGCATTAGCTCCAAGGTCCCGATTCATGTAGCTCTCCGCTTATGCTTAGAAAGCACATCTGTTGAGAGCGCGATACAGACTCTCTCATCTCTGGGGGGTGTAGCTTCGAGCCAACATATCCTCATCGCCGACAGCACGACATCCCTTGGTTTGGAGCTCTCACCCTTGGGAGACGTACACATAAAGGAGGATGAGTATGGTGTGATCACGCATACCAATCATTTTATCGAGAACAAGAATGTGACGGAGCCCTCCTGGATCAAGGGCTCACCGGCTCGCTTAGAACGAGCTCAACAGCTCGTCCGCGAGTTGGTCAACAATGGCATTCAGGGCGACTCGATCACACCTAGTTTACTCCGGGAGCAGGTTTTCTCCGATACCTGCAATGCGCCACAGTCCATATGTTCTCAGGAGGACCCGAGTACTCATCACACAAGGCGCACTTCTACGTTGTTTAACATTGTGATGAATCTGGACAAGCAGGACCTTGGGGCGGAAGTTGTTGTTGGTCAGCCGGGATCTGGCAAGGAAAGTCCCGTAATAAAGATGCCTTGGATGTGAAGATGCTGTCGTGAGCCCTCGCTATATGCCTGTTGGTCTTTCAGCATACAGCATGGCAACAAGGATTGCACGATTGCTGCAAAGAACCTCACGCATCTTAGCGGATAGACGACCAGGTATATGCCACCCTCTAATGGCATTCTTTGTCTATCTCAGACAAAGTGAAATACTCGAGGTCGACCCGCTGGGACAAGGTCATTGTCTGCACATGTATATAAAGCCGATAGGGTAGGTTTCCAATATAGATCCTCATGTTCTACAGAAGTTTTGTTCGAGCGTTTCGTTCGCTCCTGCTGCCTTTCCCGCAGTTCTTACAGTAATACATCGCATATTGTGCGGCAACACGGGCCATATACATCCCATTACCAGTAGAAGGGCAGCATGGCACCTGGTCTCCCGCTGAAAGGTGTGCGCCGGACACTTTCTATCATGAAGCGTCCAAGACACACTCCGTTCGATGAGAAAGGAGATTCTACCAATCAGGATGGCAGAGGAACGATATCCAAAACTCCAACGCAGCAGACTGGGGGACAAAACCAAGGTGTAGAGACCTGTACCCTCGAGCACCAGACCACAGCCCGGCAAGGTAGCACCTCTTGCGCAAATTCAGAGGGGCGGCTCCGTGCGTTAAGTGCACTCTATCGGTCTGAATTGGAGGATTCAAGGGACGACACCAACATTGCCACCGAAGAGGAAGTGGAATGTATAAATGAGCAGTTGCCGGAATGCTTTTGTCTTCGGTGTTATGGTGATTGTCGGAATTGTTTGAAGAAGGAAGAGGTTTATGACGGAGGTGATGTCGGTCTTACATGATGGATAACCAGATGCAGCTCAAGTACCAGCGATGTGGAGATACTTGGGGACCCGCGGGTGGCGTTAAGCATGGCGGGTACTTTGGCATTCGAGGTACCTTCGCTGCCCCACATCACTGCATTGCCAATCGAACGCCTCGAATTCGTCATTACCAACTAATACTACTATATCTTTGCGTCTTCTTCTTCTTCCCCTCCTTCCCCTCCACTTTCTCACCGCTTATGTGTAGACTTAGCTAGTCCTGAGAATCGCATCTTTTCTTCCAACATAGATTGTTTTGGTAAACTATAATGGCGTCTGCCACCGGGATTCCCCAGGAACATCCTCAGACTATCGAGGCCCGAGAAGACGAGCCGCTGTTGGGCAGACCGGGCGATGTCGTCCAGAAAGAGGATCAATATATCATCTACAATCTATTCACCGGTTAGATCACCTCCTGAGGTTCATGAGAGAATAGCGCAAGTTAACGGATCGTCTGGTTTCAGGAACGGCCAGCCTGGCGCAGTTTGGAATATGGATTGTAAGCCCATGTGTTTGTACCCGAACATCTCACAACTGATGATTGACTGGGACGACTTCAGATCGCCATCCTGGTCTGGGCAGGTATCTTCTCCCATCCGCTGATACTCTTCTCTGCCCATCCGGTAAGTCCAGTCGAACGCGTGAGGTTTGCCGCAAACACAACACAAGCTGATGATAGAAGCTCCTGAACTCATCTGCGCTGCTCCTCCAGGTGCAAGCTGCACTCATCCTCCAACCCACTGCGACACCCCAGCAGAAGCTCAAAGGAGCGCGCATCCATTACATCATCCAGGCCGTCAGTGTGGCGACCTTTATCGCGGGCTTCATCGTCATCGAAGTCAACAAGGGCAACCATGCACGCTTTACCTCGCCTCACGGCGTGATGGGCTTGATTACCTACAGTCTCATCATCATCCAGGCCGCCGGGGGCGTCATCCAGTACTTTGTCCCGGTTCAGGTCTTGGGCAGTGTGGAGAATGGTAAGAAGCTCTACAAGTATCATCGTCTGTCCGGGTATGTCTTGCTGCTTCTCGAACTGGTGACTGTTGCCGCTGCCACGCGGACGACCTTCAACTTGACTGTGCTGTCGATTCCGCTGTGGGCAGTGGCTGTGGGCGCGGTTCTGGTGATCTCAGGCGTTGGAGCAAGAGTCAAGAAGCACAAGTTGGGCCTATGAATCGGATGACGGTGTATATGAGTTTTGGAGATACCATGGATGTCTACTAGTGCTTTCTTGTGGTTGTGAAATGTTGTCAGATAGTAGTATATTTATGCCGATGCGTCAATATGTGTTACATTGTGAGAGATCTGTTCAATTTTCGGGGGACGATAGAATATCACAGCTTAGTATAGAAAGCAGCTGCCCGAGATATCAGAAAGTGAGAGGACGAGAATATACAAGTGGTCAATCCTTAATCTTTAATCCGGTGGATCGAAGTTGAAGATCCCAAACGGGAAAAGTGCCCACTCCACATCTTTTTTGTCAATCAGTCCACTCACTCCCTCACTTCCTCTCTCCCCATCAGCCCACCACAATCCTCTTCAATGGCGTCAACAAGGACGCCGTACGTCTGCCTCAATTGCAGGCTGACAAGGCCATTGACGCGACGCGCCTTTTCCTCCTCCACGCACCGCGCCGAAGCTCTCCGTCCTGCGACCGCGCCGAAGCCTACCCCAGACGTCAAGCACATCCGCCAGAACGCCGAGCTGTACTCCAAAAACAGCGTCGACCGCAATTACCCATCCCACGTCGACTACCCATTCCAGATTCAGAACCTGTCTGAAGAAGCCCGCCGCCTCGACCAAGACCTCAAGACCCCTCGCTCGCGCATCAAGCAGCTCGAAAAGGCCATCGGCAAGCTCGCAGCTTCCGCCCGCCAGGAAGGAGGCAATGGCGAAAACACAGAAGAGCTGACAGCTCTCCGATCAGAGGCCCAAAAGCTCAAGGACGAATCACAAGAGATGACTACGCGCAAGACCGCCTGCACGGAAGAGATCAACCGGCTCGCCCTGTCCCTCCCCAACCTATCCTCCTCCGAAACACCGGTCGGGGACGACCCCAGACTGATCGAATACCTCAATTTCGACCCCCGGTCGCCGCCCGAGTGGATCGCCAGTCCGGACCCCAGTCGCTCCCACGTCGCGATCGGCACATCCCTCGGCCTCATCGATTTCACCAGCTCCGCTACCACCACCGGCTGGGGATGGTACTTCCTCACCAATGAGGGCGCTCTCCTGGAGCAAGCTCTGATTCAGTACGCATTGAGCGTGGCCCGGAAACGCGGCTGGAAGCCCGTGTCCCCCCCGTCGATCGTCTATTCCTACATCGCCGAAGCGTGCGGGTTCCAGCCCCGCGACCAGCACAATGAACAGCAGATCTGGGCCATCGAACAGAGCGACAAGGACAAGAGCAAACCGCAGCGGTCTCTGGCTGGGACCGCCGAGATCCCCCTCGCGGCGATGTACGCCGGCCGTGACATCGACGCAGCGAATCTTCCCGTCAAACTGGTCGGGCCCAGCCGGTGCTATCGCGCCGAGGCGGGCTCCCGTGTGTCGACACGAAGGGTTTATACAGAGTCCACGAGTTCACGAAGGTGGAGATGTTCGCGTGGGCCGATAACGCCCCCGAAGCAAGTGGAAAGGGACTCCCGACGTCCGACGACCTCTTCAACGAGCTCCTGTCCATCCAGACCGAGATTCTGACCTCCCTAAACCTCCCCTGCCGGGTGCTGGAAATGCCGACCACGGACCTGGGCGCCAGTGCAAGCCGCAAGCGCGATATCGAGGCCCTCTTCCCCTCGCGCCTGCGGGCCGGTGCGGATCTCGAGTCGGCATGGGGCGAGGTCACCTCCGCTTCTATCTGTACGGACTACCAGAGCCGTCGGTTGGGAACCCGGGTGCGCGGCGGAGCAGCGAAGGATTCTCGGTTCCCGCATACTGTCAATGGCACTGCCGTGGCTGTTCCCCGGGTGTTAGCCGCCATTCTGGAGAATGGATGGGATGAGAAGCGGAAAGTTGTAGTTGTCCCGGAGGTGCTGAGGAACTGGATGGGTGGCTTGGAGGTAATTGGGAGTCTTCGTGACTGTGGAACGGATAGAACTTTGTATGCTATATATGATATTGCATTGTACATTATACTACTCATGAAACTGATCTTTTTTTGGAGCCGGTTTATCTCGTGTACAACATCAACCCAGACATCAGATTAAGAATATCTGTACAAAACCATACGGAAAACGTTCAAGAACAGGAAAAAATTAAGCAAGAAAACACACAGTTGAGTGCAAGACGCTACCTAAATGACAGGGTCATAACTTCGTAACACGTTAAAAACATCATGTCGTCAGCACCAGAAAACATCTAGAATCAATATCTCAAACCAAAATATAAGGGGAGCGGTGACGTGAAATAGGTAAAGGGTATCAAAAGTAGAAAAGAAAAGCCATATCGTAGATCTTTTGGAAATATCATAATCGTTTAATCCCATGGAATATCCTCATCTTCGATTTTGATGCAGGTTAAATAGGGAAGGCCACCGGAACTGGTGTCCAGTTCGCCGCCTTTGAGGTCTAGCTCGAGGAAATTCCTCATTAATGGCCGTACGATTTCGCGAGCTAGTCGTTTAAGTTCGTCCATCTTGCGCTCAAATCGTTTGAAAACATCACGGGAGTATAGAGAGTCTGATGAAGGGGTTGGATGTACTTTGAGGAACTTCTTAAGTTCATCATGAGGCAGATAAGCCTGGGTAGAGGTCGAGCCAATTAGGCGGTAGACCCGTGCGGAGGACAGAGGAGCGGCAGCAGCGGCTTTCGAAGCGGCCGAGTGATGGTCCTGGGCCCGGTGGGCACTGGGCTGTGAGGGACGGCTATGGCTGCTTGTGGTCGGGGCGTTCGAGGAAGAATTCTTCAAAATCGGAGCTGGAGGGGGCGTGGTGCTGTCGACAAGCCATTGCCGGAAGAGGGAGACGACAAGCCAATCGAGGTATGCGTTGGTGGGCGTCACACGTTCGCCGCGGGAGGTAGTGAGCGTGAGTCGCAAAAGTTTGGAGTCAATGCGCGACTTCATATATTCTAAATCCTCGACCTTATCCTCGATAATATCTAGCACGGTATCCGGGAGCGGAGAATATGCGCCATTGCGCAGGTGCGGTAGTCCCGCAGGCCATTGCCCGACAACATGGATTAGGGCTTCGGAGTAGATGACGCGACTGCGCGCAAGATAACCCAGCTTGAGGTAGCTCGGGGGGTATTTCGCGATTTGCTTGAAGAGCCGGGACCCAAATCCGAGGAGGTGGTGATCAACTCGCGGTCCCGTTACGGGAAGGGCATCGTACATGTCGGCTAGCGCAAGAAGAGATCTGCATTCGGCGTAGGCAGTCGCAATGTTGACGCTGTTTAGCGCTGGGGGATGGTTATAGAACAAGCGGAACAGATTATCGTAGTCGCGAATCGTCGGATCCATTGGTGCGTTTCCCGCATCGGTATGCGGTATGTTCATAACGGACTGCATTCCGGCCAGGTTTGCCATCGAACGGACGAAACCTGCTTGCGTACCTGATGGTTTCGTCACCGACGGGGGATACTGTCCCAGGCTGTTTCCAAAAGTGCTAGAGAAGCTTGGGGGCTATTGCCGCGGCGTGTCAGCATATGACCAATATATAGCACAAACGAACCGACCTTCTGAACTAGGATTGGTTCCTCGTCTTCCGCCTTGTTTTCCCAGTCTAGCTCAAATCTCCATCGCCTCTTCTCTGGAGAAAACACCGCCCCCGTCTCCGACTGAGCCAGAGTGGAACCGTTCGACAAAGACGAATTATCTTCGCTGATTCGGGATAGCACCGCAGGATCCGGAATGGGCGGCCTCGATGTAGCAGCCTGTCGCGACCATTCATCGCGAGTGCTTGTGTCAAAGAAGCCTGAACATTGTGCCAAAATCAACCGATGTAATAGGTACCGCCTCTCTTGCCCACTTGCGCGGATAACAATCTCGACATCGCCGGTGTGGGTGAAAATGGGGAAATCATTCTGAGGTTGGTGAATAAGCCCACCGTGGTGGGAGCGGCTCGAGCGATGTCGCCGGCCAGAGTGACGCGATACGGAAGATGTCGCGCTCTGTGTGAGAAGGGAGCGGTCCAGGATCTGGGCCTGAGAGACCATTTCGGAAGAGGTGAACGTAAGTGTTGTGGGAGACTTTGGGGTCATGGTCAGACCGTGGCGGCGACGAGAGAACGTAGTACCAAGACGCCAGAGCGCCGTGTGTGGGCCTTCATACAAGTCCACACTCCCCACAAAATCGGAGATTATTTCTCGGTCATGGGATGGAGAACCGTCTTTCAAGGGACCCTCTTCGGAGAAAAATTGGGATGATTTGCCGACTGTTTACCCCCGCGGCGATAACCAACAAGCACTAGTAACGGGGAGAGGTTGAGTGGGTGTGAGATAGCCAGAACTAGGATTAGATTTGATCAGATGGCCGGGGCTTGTTTCAGCTCATGAAGGACCGGAGCGAAACCACAGGCAGACAGAGGCTGATATCTGATACGATGGAGTGGGTTCCACTTAATGCGATTAGCACGGCCAGCCAAGGTCGCTTAGTGGTTGTCCCTGATAGGTAAATAAACAAAAGATTCAATCGCGACAGAGAGAACCAGAGACGGAGAATTGAACAAGAAGCGTGCGATTGATATAAATCACCGTCTGGTCGCCGCCCCCGAAGTGACTCTCTTATGACATTCCCGACGGTGATTGTTTGCAGAGACTCTCGAATTTACTTGGTTTGGCTCATGGTTTCGAACATGCCGGCACATGACTGGGCATACCAGAAGGCCGGGCGGTCGGAGACGGCAGTAACCATCCGCCGAAAACCGTTTAGCGCGTCTGGAGGGAGCGCATCCATCATCCGTGAACAATCATCCTATAACTTAACTAGAGGAGGATCTTCTTCCTGAGAGTTCCTCCTGCAGCTGCTCTTCTTACGACTCGAAACCTTGCTCTAGAAGATTGCCCACATTACTCTATCGTAGCCAGAACAGACATTCCAAGAATACGGACCTTTTCCTCCTATTCAGGTAGAGAGATAGAGTTCCCGGTGAAAGCAACGCCATGGAAAAGCATAACAAACAGGAGAGAAAGATAGCCAAAGCTACGAGTCCTCTGGCCATTACAGCAGAGTTCCTGTGGAGGACCTTACTGAGGACTTTCTACATTTGACACACCGGCTGTTCCTCATAGAGCTCTCGGCTCTTCGCCAAAGGAATGTTGCCTAAGGAAAGTTGTCTCAGCCCTCCATTTCCGGTAAGAATCACTGGTGCAGGGGTGTGATAGTCTCTATATCTGAGTGAACCACATCCAAGATAGCTTGGACCAACCCTTCCGCGACGCAAGGGGTTGTCATGCGATTGCAGGCGATCCGTAAGAAGTCTCCTAGCTCCTGTCTCCCCGACCCAGGTGCATAATCCACCATCCAGCCTCGCTTCATAAGCCCCGCGGAGATGAGACGCGTAAAATGTGTGTTCTGTGTGACCATGTCTTGCGTAGAGCCTGTGCATTTGAGTGATGCGCCTACATAGTAGAAGCACACCTGTGTACATGGTACATCCACATCTCCTACAAGGTGGAGTGAAGGTTCCTTTTCGATCAACCGGGCAAGGTATTTAGCCCCATAATAGGCCCCTTCAACTTGTTTAGCGATGCCTTCTGTACCATAGTATCGCCAATGAAAGTATAGCTTGACGGCGTCTGGCCGACGACCGCATTGAGGAGTGAAAGATGCCAGGTCGTACACTTCTCGGGGATCAGGTGCGTTCTGAACAGCGTTGGATGTACGCCAATTGTGGTGAACACTGTTGAAAGAAGAAGGCTTCTCCACGTTGCTATTGGACAGTTTCCCCTCAAATACGGCCATAGTGGGCGAGGGACACAATTCAGAAGGAAGTATGTTGTCATCTTGATGGAACAAATACCCAGCAGTCAGACTGTTCGCATACCAGAATGTACGGAGGTCCTTCCCGAGAAGAAAGGAGCAGATCTGTGGCACACCCAGTAGTTTGTGCGGATTGTATGCGATACTGTCTGCAAACTCACAACCAGCGAGCTTGTACCTGAGCTTGTTGGAAAATGCAGCGGCACCACCCCAGCATGCATCCACGTGGAACCAGGCATTATATTCATGGGCCAGCTTGGCAATGCTCTCTAAGGGGTCATAAGCCCCACGAACGGTTGTCCCTGCTGTTGCACATATAAATAGGGGAACCTCTCCCGCGGCTAGGGAAGTATCGAGTGCTTGTTTAAGAGCCTTGGGATCCATGGAGCCGTCTGTACTGGTGGAAATCTTCTTGACAGAATGTGACCCCAGCCCCAGGACTTGAGCTGCATTAAAGACTGAAAAGTGCGCTGCTTGAGACGCATACATCACCAGACGTGGTGACGATATGCCATGCAGGCCGACTTCTTTGAGATGTGGAAATCGTACATTCCGTGCGATCAACAGGGCGGTACTATTTGCTGCTGCTCCGCCTGGGACAGTAACGCCCCCTGAATTTGGGTCGCCGAGGCCGAAGAGATGGGCCAGCTCTTCCCCAACATGTTTCTCTATTAGGGTGAGAGCTGGCGAGACTCGAAAGACGTGGTCGTTGCCATTCAATGCGGACAGGAGTAAATCTGCAGCAATTCCGGGGATGGACGGCGATGACCATAGTTTATCCATAAACCCTGGGGAAGACGTGTTGACCGAGTATCGTAGAAGGGTTGACGTCGAGGATGCGATGTCCTCCAGGCCTCGTCCCGTCGCCGGAAGATCCAATGATAGAAGTTCGCGAAGCTGATCTGGATGGCTCAGGTAGGACTCTAGAATATTGCCGGTGGAATAACACCCGTTCGAGAGATGTCCTTCAGTGGTAAGAGCATTGTAGTCATCTTCGGAAGCGCGAAGGAAGGAGGTTATGTATCTCAGCACACTCTCGACAGCCTTCGGGAATTAGCAACACTGTCACGACGGATAGATACTGCTGGATGTACCTCTGTGAGCTCAGTCGCTCTACCGGCAGGCAAAGAGTCTTCTTCGATTGAATTTGCAGGCATTATTGCTTCCTAGATGATATTCTCGGGCTATTTTGTGCGTTCAAGAGATGAGTGAGAGTGTAGCTCAAATATAACAGTTTGCACCCTATAATAAGCCGGCGGTTGCCTTGTCGCAAGCTTTTAGTTAGCCATATATTACTTGCCTACTACACGTTTTCATGGCTCACCTCTTGCAGATGAGAATGGCGGTTTTACACAGCCCCTCAGCAGTTAGCGCTTGTTGGTTGATGTAAAGCGACGCCCCGGTGTTGTGCCAGTCCAATGCAGTCGTTCAAGGACAGTCTGGGCCATGGGGATTGTGTAGGTTCTCATCCTTCACATGTCCATTGCACAACCCGCCGTGCGACATATCGACCAGAAGCGGTATCCAAGGCACTGGGTTTTGAGTCTTGAGGGGAATAAGATGTACTTCTCGAATACCATGTCGTAGTTTGGTTTTCGAAGAGCAAAGGAAATGGGATACCGTGGGATTGACGAAGCACATATGTCTGAAGTGCACTAGTAATTGTTACGGCGGAAAGGAGATAGTAATATTCAGTATAGTCTGTACGATGTACTGGAGATCTGAAGCTGACTTCATATTATTAGGTTGTCAACCTTGAACCCTACGTGGATACTTGGTGGAAGTGTCCCCTAAAAGTACTCTGTCTCCCCCCATACATCAAATCAACCTCAAGGTTCAAGTTCCTTAGTTCTTTTTTAGAACACAGCCTTGGCTACCATATGTGCGAATTTACAAATGATTGGTACGGTGGGCTTTCGCTCTCCCCACAGCTCATATTGAACGTGCAGTGGAGATCTACCCGAGTTAGGCAAAAGTCAGCCTTGTGAATATAACACACTGACACCCTGACTAATATTGGTATTTCCTTACTCTCCCTTGATAGCATGGTCTTCTACAGAGCGAACCTTCCATCGGAAAAGACACGCAAGGGTGCCAGCCAACATTGCCAAGATTGTACTTGACTCAAACCTCTCCTATCAACGAAGGACGCAAAAGTCCTGTGCGCATCCGGGTACGAACAGTAAGAACTTCGTAGTCAGCATTTACTATATAATATTTGATTGATTGGACTGAAAACGCAGGTAGGAATGCCACCCTAAAACGGTCTTTCATGGATTCTAGAGCTTTTAGCAAGGAAAAATCCACAGATGGGATAATTCGGCGTTTGGCAAATGAAGCCCTAGTCAGCGTTCCAGTTGACGTCCAATGCTAATGCACACTAAGTAGCCGCTGGCCCTGAAGGAAGCCCTGATCATCAACGCCCCGCCGTTAGCCTTGCAGTAGCGTTAGTGCTATGCTCTTTGCGAGGCTGTATCCGAGCGCTAACTGAGGGCTCTCAATCAAACCTCGCTCTCAGGAGCCCATAATAGACATGGGTGCCTCCCATATTTTGCGTATTTTCAACTGTCACTTGTCCTGAGAACGGTTCCCAAATGTTCTCCCATACCCACAATCCCTTGTGAGGGCCGAATCGTGGGTTGCAATACGTCCATTCTCGTCATCGGCAACCTGTTGCTCGGTGCATAATGGCTCGTTCGCCGTCGCCCGACATCTCCTTGGACGATCGCACTTCTAATCATTATGATGATTCAGTAAATTCGCCGGTTTTTTCTGATTCAAGACCTTCCACCTTGCACGGTCAGCACAGTGAAACTGGGAGACAATGGGGCAATGACTCCACAGCGGATTTCTCTGATGAGCCACAAAGCCGTAGCTATAATAGCAGGTTTGTGGAAGAGGGTGATGACAATAGCGAAAATTTCCGCGTCAAGAATGGTGTCCCCGAGATCAACATAGTTCCAGATCCTAATCAACCGGCCTCCGATCCGCAGATACCTTCTGATCCAAATGAACAATCGCCGAGCTGGCTACCTTTTACCCTCCAGAATAGCTTTCTTGGCCTGCTCAGCACGCTAGCCATGGCACTGTGTGCTGTGACGATCGCTTTGCTTGTGATGTCCCAGAAAAACTATGGCTTAGGGTCAGATGACGGGTCCTCAAAGATCCTGTTCGGTTGGCGGTTCAGCCCAACGTTGGTAGCAGTCATCTACATTCAATTGACAGCTATGCTGATGGACGACATCAAGCGATTAGAGCCATTTGCTCGACTAGCACGCCCAGGAGGGTCCGAGGCATCGTCAAGCATTCTTCAAAAGCCTGGAGCCTGGTGGAATGCGCTTCGGGATGGTCTCTCCAAAAGGAAAAATGGGGGCTCTTCTCGAGGCTGGATATTGTTCTGCGCAACCTTGGTCAATGTCCTTGGGTTTCTCCTGATATCGCCGCTGTCCTCCGCTAGTCTCCGTCGATGTGGCAGTTCCACGCCAGATGGACTTCCTTCGCCTTACACCACGACTCGACGCGCCTCTCTCTCTTAGTCAGAGTCGTATTGCTCGCTTTCGGGCGATTAGCCATTTTGCACAAAACGTATCGACTTCACCATGGGTTACAGATGAGTGGACCATGCTTCCATTCTGGCCAACTGCCTGGGAGAGTCCACAGTTTGGATCGTTACCTTCCACGCCCCAGACATGGAAGGCGGAAACTACAGCGTTCAAAAGTGATCTCGATTGCAAGGAGATGAAGCTCAAAAGCTCGTCCAGTAAGACGGTAATCAAAGGGAACGAGTACCATAATGCTACTGCCATTTCTAACACCACTGTCTGGTCCTCTGGTGATTGTAAGCTGGAGCTCGAAGCGTTGATAACCGGTGAAGACATGTGGACTGAAGGTGGTGCCAGCTGGTCGAATTTTTCAGAAATCAACGCAATCGAGGCGCTCCGCATCATTAATGTGGCACAAACAAAGGAATGTACTGGCCACGATTACCTCTTGCTGATGGAAGGAAACAGCACCCTGAATGTGCATTTATGTGCGACTACATACTCCATGGCTAATGTCACAGCCTTAGTTGATCTCTCGGGAAGTGTGCCAGATATCACCTTCAATGAGAGCGAATACATACAAAACCAACAGGAAGTTCCGGATACCCTGATGAGCACCGAGGTGATGCGAGATCGGGCAGTAGATTCTGACTGGACAAGCTCCATGCTCACGCTAAACTTCGACAATTCTCCGTATCTGTACGGACCAGCCCGTCTGTTATGGGTCATCTATAAGAATAATTTGACGGCAATGGTTGAAGACAAAGATATGATATTGCGTGCAGCGAAGGTTCAGCAACGATTCTTTGGAGAAATGCTCCAGTCAAGCTTGACCGAACATGGTGCCTCCCAGTACCTTCCCATGCAAGGTAATGTCAGGACAGTTGAGAGAAGAGTGACCACTACCGCTGGGCCTGCAATATCGCTCATAATTCTACTCTTCCTATCCTCATGTCTCCTGTTAGTCGCATGGAGATGCTCGCGGCTCCAGCACCGGCCGTTGAATCTGAAAACCGATCCTGCCTCACTTGCCGGTGCGACTTCCTTGCTGGCGGATAGTCCTCGGACCAGGGTTAGTTTGAAAGACTTCAACCGGGTTTCAGATAAGGAGCTGCAGACACTATTAGAAGGCAAGCGCTATTACACAGACCCAGGGACGCTGCACGAGACGATTCCTGATCTGTGCGAAACTGCCAATCGAACCACTGAGGAAATGCCCCCGGAATCAGCCTCGAAGACCAACTGGGTTCCAGGAGTGCTCTGTCTTCCAACCCTACTGGTGCTGCTTGTATTTCTTATAGCCGTACTCACCGGTGTGGTCGTATTGTACCATTTCGCTCAGTTGTCCCAGCTATACGACAAAGCTTTCGTCTACCAAGCCAACATTTCCATTTTCGATAAAAAGCTGTCCACCGTCGGGCCGTTCTCCATGATCCCAACCATCATAGCAGTGTGTATCGGCCTGTGGTGGGGTGTTATCGACAGTAACTTTTGCCGTCTACAACCATATCTGGCCATGGCTAAACGTTACCGGCCGTTATCCGAGAGTGTGCACTTATCGTATCAATCGTCTTACTGGATGTGGGCCACAATCAAAGCTCTAATGAATAGGCACTGGATGCTAGTATTGGTTACGCTGGGAACAGCTATTTCACCAATATGTACGTTTCTATGATCAAGTCGTTATGGTCTGGATGTACTAACCGTGAGCCTCTAGTCACCACGTCAATGTCAGCCCTCCTGCAGCGCGATACTGGAGTGATAATACAGACACAGACGCTGAAGCGTTCGCTGGAAATTCGTCAAATTCCTCATGTCTTCGAAACCCAAGAGTTTACAATACGATACGCTACTAACTTCTTGGGCTCTATCCTTGCGCAGCTCCATGGGAATCTGTCCTCGCACTGGATGTATACAGCCGCGAATCAACTAACCTTGAATGGCTCTGAGCCAGCCTGGAGTAAGGGTGGCTGGAGCTTCGTTCCTGTTGATTTAAGTACCGTCAGCCTTTCGATTCCGGGGAAGATTGACAGCAATGATCACGGTGTCATTGACAAGAACTCTCGAATCAATGTCTCGCTCGCCACGCCCGCTATAGCGGTAGAATTGAATGCAGTCCTTATGAAGGCTTGTCAAATATTTCTTCGTGGCTAACACCTACCGATGTGAGCAATTCATCTAGTTGGAAGCTAAGTCCGAGCGCTGGGGACCTCAAGACAGCGTATCAGTTAGGGGTGGGCTTTCAAACAAACAATCATCTGCCTAGCATGATATTCCCCCTGGAGCCATCACACAACTACACTGACTGTGTTCAGTGCACCCCTATCTTTGCTAATCCATCGTCGATCGAGTGCTGTGGCAATGGGACCAACACCGGGGCAGATCCGATGGCTGCTGTCGGGTACTGGTCACCGAATGGCAATCCGGGACAATGGAACCCAAGGATATGGTCACGTAACTTCACAACCAAATGGATATATGGCCCTGCGCAATCAGCGATGGAGTTGATCCAGCGCTATCACAGTAAACAACTACACCTGCTGTTCACAGAGATACCTTCCATAACGGCCATGAACTGTAAGCCGGTGGTGGAAACAGCCAATGCAGAGGTGACCGTGGATCCTGCCACTGGCGAAGTTCGAGCGTTCGACATCACAGATGAACCACAGGCTTCGGATAACGCGTTTTCGGACGTATTTCTCCCCCATAAAACGTCTGACCTGGAACTATCGCAGATACCTATAATGCAACCGTCAGGTAAGTTGATCCGCCACCAGATTCCAAAGAGACGGACAAACCAAGGCTAATCCTGATCCATGCTGCTAGCTACGGAGTGCTTTTCATGACGCAGATGCTAACCGCAGCGAAGGTTCAAAACATCATAGGACCAAGTCGGATAATAGGCTGGGCCACGGAGGATACAACCGACAATACCTTCAATATCCGCGACGAAGCACACGGGCTGAATCTGGACTTTATGTCCTATTCCATGTACTCCCTGGCGGGCGAGGACCCCGCGGCACTTCTCGACCCTACCGTCTTCTCACGCCTGTCGTCGAAAACCTTTTTCACCTTCTTTCAGCATTTTGCAAACAGCAACCTCTCCATGACAACAGGTAGCTGGGTATATCAGCCCATTAACGCGAGTTTGCCGCCGGACCTTACCCCGTCCGTCACTGACGCTAGGCTTCTGGAGGATGCGCCACTCACAGACTATCAAAATGAACTACATCCAATCTCTCATACAAATCGGACGGTAGTGGTGAGGGTTTCAAAGCGTGTTGAGATGCTACAGATGAACGCTGTCGCTGTGGGGCTCAGCGTGAGCATCTTAGCGTGGCTAATTATCGCCACAGTGATCGTCACAGTGTTTCATCGGCAGTACCTAAGGCGGTTGATTCGAAACGTAGAATGTCTTGGGGACATGCTGGTCTTGACTGCAGGAGGTGAGAACCTGGTACAGCTGATCCGGGAGATGCAAGCCGGAAACCTTACTGAGAGCGAGAAGAGTCATCTGTGTGCACGGCTCGGATGGTTTCAGGATGGCGATGGGAAAGCCAGATGGGGAGTCGAAGTGTCAGAGGGCTATAAGGGCCAGCCACCCGTACAGTGGCTAGATCATGATGGAGAGGAAAGAAATAGAGGGGAACATGCAGCTGATACCGGCTCAGTGTAGCTTGGTGCTGTCTGTACCTGGGAGTCGTGCTATATGTGCATGATTTGGGGACGAGATATATGTAATGGGGTCTGTATATAGGGAAAGGAAAGATATAACATTAGTTACCTGTGAGATAACCTCTCGCGGGCCCGAGAACCTCCTAGACTACATAGCGCCCTGGAAAGTCTAAGGACCGCGGGTTTTTGGAACAACCGGCGGTAGCTGTGTCTGAGTATCCTTCCGACGGTTTCAGCATCAAGGCATATAGGGATTTCAAGAGAACTAATTTTGACCAAATCGCTTCCCAGGATGCCTCGCTGGATATATTTCGATGGTTCTGTATAGGTGGAGAAGGCCTCCCCCCGGAGAGCATTTATCAAGACGACTGGCTTCGGGTAATATGGGAGGAGGACGATAGTGAGGTAGATGCTGATGAGACTGATGATCGAGACTCACAAGGACCGGTCGGCAAGTCGAATGATCGGCTTGAATCATGGCTTAAGACAGCCGGTTGACCTTCAAACTATTTATCTGATTAACGGATTGCATAACATAGTCCAGAAGCAGCTCGGGTTGAACTTCTCAAGTCACAAAAATACGATTCAGAGGCGGAGCACCGTACCACACCTCTATTGATCCTGTCTCAATGCAATTCATATGCCGTGCTGTGACAATCCCAACTGTGCTTTTAGCCATGAGATGGTGTGAAGGTGACCAGAAAAGGATATTTTTGAGACCGGCAGGTATTTATTCTCCAGAAAGCTGCGATAGCCCTGTAGGATCTATATGGATGTATTGGTGCGGACAAAAACTATGCCTGATGTTACAGCAAGAAAGAACTTCAATGTCAATTTCATGGACTAGGCAGAAACCTAGTTAGGACATCCTATATGGCTCTATAATTTCATTCTAAGCTACTTGAAATTGATCCTGATAGCTCCATTAAACAAAGAGCACTCTCTCGAGGAATCGGTATGCTCCTCCTGGCTGAGTCTAAAAGTCCGGGCTTGCAACACAGAAGACATTAAGACCACCAACCCCACACATAAGTATCCATACCAGCTCGATCATATGCTGGGAATGGCGTAGACACCAGTAAAATGGGCTGTCTCAGCTTCACTGCAAAGTCCAACACCGGTAGAATACTAAGTCATAGACATCATAACCTTATCACCATTCATCTCAAGGCTCAATCTAGCCATGGCCATTGGGACTTAAGTCACTTAACCACAGTAGCATTGGTCCACTGCGGCAATAATTAATATTTTATCCTATGCTTTCTACTTGGAAGTCTTATGATATTGCTAAACTCCCATCAACCGAACCCAACAATAGAATATTCGTTCTGGGGCACCCAATGACTCATCAACAAACCTTGGGATCCTCCTGCCCCATGCAAACATCCGTGACATCAATATATAAATCACCTACTGCATGCGGCGAGTTCCATATCAGTCATGCGTTCATATACACATCAACTCAACCTGCAATGACATAATGATTCTTTTGTACAGTGCTGTACTGCCGAGTACAAATTGCAACTCTTTCTCTTGCCCATCTTGCATTCTAGGTCTGCAATTCAGTGTTGACTGATAACTCTGAACCAACTTAGGAGAACTTTTTAACAAGAATATCTTCTCTTTCTGCAACACACGGTAAGTTTTTGTTTGTCATGTATCTTCTACTCTATTTATCCAGACTGCATCTAATCAGCCTTATAGATGAGTCAACAAGCGCACGGAACCTTCTCTTCCGATGGGTCTGGAAGTTTTACCGGGACCTATGTTATGCCCGACCAGACGCAGAGGACCATTGCCGGAAGATTCACATCCGCTGTTCCAGCATTCTCTGTGCCAGACTCTACAGTTACCTTCGACGATGAACTATATGGCACCCACAGCCTATCGGGAGTGCTTGGAGCAACTTCCATGGACTCCAGGCTGGACAACGGTGTAGAGCTACATGGATATCTTATGCCCCCGCTCCCTCAGGGGTACAGTATTACAGGTCATGGACAATGGTCCGGAGAATACTAGACCAACTCACTAGAATATGCGGAGGGTAGCTATCGAAGCATACAAGCTGAATGATGATCTATGACTTTAGTTATTGTATGCAGAGACAGATATGTTGATTAAATGTATTGCATTCGAATACTGAGCACAAAAAGTGACAGTATTATCTTGGGACACGATATGGAGCTCATTCCTTACGGACGCCTCCTCAGCGAAGCCAGCGGTCGAGCAGCGTTTCGAAGACCGGAAGATAAATACGAATGAGGAACATTCAAGGAATATCAGATCGGAACTCAGTTATGTAATATTTTTGTTGAGATGAGTATTCATGCTCTGACGTTAGTAGCTAAAACGAATCCATAATAAAGTCAACATAAGAATGTAGTAGACAATTCAGTGTTTCTGAGATCTATCACATTGAACAATTAAAAGTGCGAAAATAAAACACTAGACACTTATTCATATTAATCATCAAATGGCCATGCCTTGTTCCAAGCCACCCGCTCATCTTCAGACTGTGCTAGTTGATCAATCATCTTTACCTTTGCCTGTTTCAAAAGCTCTTTCACTCGGTCATACTGATCATGTCGAACCACACCTTTCTCCGGCCAGTCCTCACCTAATAGCTGTTTCAACTCCCGCATAATGTCCATGCCTCTGATTGCACTGGAAATATCTTGTTTGATCATAACAGCCTTCTCAGATGATATATGACACGGAAACTGAGGGTTACCCCGAGCGTGGACACCTGGAAGGCGAAGCCATTCTTCTTCTAGATCAAACACCCTGGCTTGATATAATACCTCCCTATTAACCAGGATATTCTGGGCCATTATTATCATCTCGAAACTGGTAATCTCTCGAAACTCAATAGCTGTGTAAAACCTTTTATTAGTAGTATAAATAAACTTTCTATACAAGGCTGCGAGCGACATCTACAGATACTAACTCATAGTATTCTCTTGCTCGGCAGAATTCAGCTCACTAATATTCTCTGGAAGCATTGGCGGATCGAGGCTAGTTATTGAAGAACTATTATAATTAAAAAAGTATAGCTGGCGAGCTTAATCAAAAAATAGTAGCAGTTCACTTAACTGCTAATCTATTATACCTAAAACTTAAGATAAACTGTCGGGATTAACAAATATGTTCTCTGCATAGAAATTAAGATAAAATAAAAAGACAGACGATGTTAATTTATCCATTAACAGAAGATACTCTACTATACAAAGATAGTTGTTAAGTGCGGCTAACTTTTTAGGGCGAGAGAAGTAATATATACCAGGACCATGCAGTGATATGGGTGATTGAGATAGTTTCGAGATCTCCTGAACAGATCTAATCTTTCGTATACCAACTGCTGTTTTATATTATTCAACGCTATTCTCTAGAAAAGCGTAGTTAACACTGGCTTTGGAAATAGGATATTATAATAACTTACACGGGCCTCGATCGAAGTCTAGTACTATTCTTCTGTCGTCGAGGAATACTCGGCCTATGGAGAGTCCGACGGTAAAACGAGGCTCCTTTTTTTAATCCCTCTTACCCTGTATAGATATAGTCTTTATAATTTTCTAGGTCGCAAGAGTAGTATAGACTCTTGTATTGAGCAAATATAATTAATATCCAGAACTTTTAGTATTCTGCGATTACTTTCACCATCTTAAATCTATCTTTAATATTTAATTTAGACCAAATTTCTTCAAGCTGCACCCCTGGAACTTTCTCTATTATAATATATTCGGCGCCAACTAAGTTTTCTTTCGCTTTCGAGCTCCAAGTCAACACCTTCGGCACGGGTGTACCGAGCGTATTTCTGACCTGTGTTATCGAGCGCTAGGAAGAGATAAAAGAGTCAAAATAGGGAGATTAACTGACGAATTCTATAGTAGCCACTTCGCTGGCAGTAGTATAGTAAATCCACCCGGCGTTAGAGTTTGGAACTTTACCAACAACCTGTGCACCGTCCTACATTGTAAAAAGGAAAGTCTTATTAAACATTCTGTCTGGAAGTTTCTTAACGTGGACGCATTGTGTATCAGAATAGCCGGCCGCTTTAGCGGCAAGTTTTACCAGTTCATTCATATTGCAACGAATATGGCGTATCGGCATTTCGTAAGCTTCATTTACTAGGAAACGGCCCCTGGTATAGTTGAAAAAGTCGTCGTGCGCGTTCCAATCTGAATGAAGTTGCCAGCCGAGGTTTGGTGTTGATCGAGGAGATAAAATTTTACCTCGTTTCCTTAGTAAAGAAAAGTACGTGCGGATCATACTGATCGCAAGTCAAGAGTGGGATGGTTCAGGAAAATTGGCTGCGAGTTGCGCATCACGGAACCGTGGCTTTCACTGAGGATCGCTGCGGAAGATCGCCCGGAGGCCCAGCTAGCTCAGGGAACCTTCGGCGCTTGGGGAAGGCATTCCACGTGCCTATGCCAATAATACACCGGGTTCGTCATTACGGCCCGAACCGAGTAGTATACAAAAGTTGATGGGCCCTACTACTACTAGTTAGCTTATACGATACCGCGAGAAAATATTTACTCCTTGTGACCCTCCTTCAACCATTCATGCTCCAACAACTCCCTGGCGGATGGCTATCCCTCCAGTCCAACTTCATGATCTCCATAATGAACTCCTTATCTCTCTTACAAACTTCTTTCTCCGTTATCATAGCAAACGGGGTAGTTTCTGATTTGGGAATCTCTTGCATAATCCACCTAATGGCGTGCAAAGTCTCGAGACTCTCAACCTCTTCATACTTGCCTGGCCAGGGGCCGAAATATCGAAATTGCTGCGTTAAAACCTCCAGGTTGTACTCTTCATGACCATAAGGTACAGTGGCGCCACCGTAGATGAGAGATATAAGCTGGAATGGCGATTAGTGCTCTCTTCCCAGGACCAGTTCATTGAACAGGGGTGAAAAGCTCACCATAGTTCCGTATGACCAAATGTCGGCTGGAGAGCCCCACGGAGTCTCCATGATCATTCATCGGTGCCCCTAACGGAGTGCCTGACCTTGCTCACGTCGAGTCAATAGGGCATGTGCCACCAAGATCCCCTAGTCAAACATCCGAAAATCGCACATGATTCCCTACGCCTCGGTCGGCGTAATTTACAAAGATATTATCTGGTTTCAAATCTATAGATCTGTTATCAATGACGTTTCTAGATAAGTAACCAGGGATATTATTTTTACCTGCATGTATATAACCGCCCTGGTGGAGACAATTGAGCGCTTCAAGAATACGCCGTGAGACGCATTTAAGCTCCTTTCGGTTCAAGGGCCTTGCCTTTGATGCTTGAAGAAGATCATCTTCAAAGTGTTTCAAGACAATGATAGTTGGCTCGGGAGGATCTTCGATTTCATCAAGGACGGGTCGGAGGCAAGAAGTTTTGGCCTGAAAGTGTTTGAGAATATCTAGTTCATTGTTTACACGTGGATGATTTTCAACGCCCTTAATGATGACGGTCTCTTTTGCTTGGTTTCTACGAGAAACTAATCAGTATGTCTTCTGCATGACCTGAGCTTTGTGCACTTACTTCGCCAACCAAACAGTGGCTCGGACTCGCTTTGCGATCGTGTATTTCCCTAGTTTGCCTCGAAGAATCTGCCCAGTTCGAAAGAGCGAGGACATCGTCAGTGGAATGCTTGGCGTCGCTGGTGCCGTGGGAGGTCAGCAGCAAGATATTGTAGTGAAATGCTATTTCCCGCTATTGCAGGAGACGAGAATGTCTGTCGAGATTCATTCAGCCAGGGGGGTTCTTTCTCACATTGAGAAACGCTTCCGAGGTACCAGCTCTAAGGGGGCCAGGATTTAGTGGCTTCTTATTATATAGTTGGAGATCCAGGCGGATATTGATGCTAATACTAAGGTGGCAAAACTAACCGCAAGAGGAAATCCAAAGGTCCTCCACCGAGATTGCTTTACTATCTTGCGACAGACTTGTTGAAAGTCAAGTTGCTCTGTTCTTGAGGGTCGAACTCCAGAATACTCGAATTGAGCCTTGCCTTCGACACGGAAACTTTCCCGAGAATAACCTCGTCACCTCTGACCAGGATCGTCCTTACATCCCCGTCTTAACTTCAGTAGAAGATTCACCTCCTCAGGTGACCATTGCATGCCCTTCCTAGAGGTCCCATATCCTGCGGACCCCATGAATTCCAAAGCCTTTTGCTCGTTATCTCCCTTGTCTTTACCGCGCCGTGTAACACAGCTTAAGAGATTCAACGATGCCCAACCGTCCTAATGGAAATTCACCAACCAGGCCAAATGTCCCTTAATTACCCAGAGTAACCAAGTCAAAGCGATGCAACCAAGCCAACAGAACCTCCTTGAGACCTTGTCGGAGAAGTTCGTCACCGAATAGATACTCGTCAACCCGGTTTTGATCCCAGGAGAATGTCCCTTGCTGACTATGAACCAAGGACGCATTCCCACTCCTGATCATATATTTAGTCTCCTCCCAGTCACTCAGATACAGACGGACAGGTCCCCACATCAAAGTCTGTGCCATAACACCAGGAAGCAGATCGTTAAATTGCGGATGGGCATGGACAAGAGCCCATTTCTCACTGACCGAATTGATCTCTCTAACGTCAAAACGTCGCCTAACATCTACACACAACGTTCGGTCTACCATCTGGCGGACGGTACGCTTAAGGTACGATATCTGCTGCTCAGCGAAGTGATGTACCTCGTCTAATGGGAAACTGTCTCGATCACGCCCAACGTGCTGGATGATAGTAGCCTGCATATGCTCGATTTCCTGCTTCATTTTCTCCAGCCGGTAGCTGGTCCACTCGGTGTATAGTTCGGGGAGATCACAATATGGCCGCACGTTTGACAGATAGCTATCGTCGTGGAGACCGGGTATCGCTGCGCGGTATGAAGTTATAGTTGTGATCCGCTCGGTTGCTCCGAAGGCTCGCGCGGCCAGATGTTCGACTTGGCCTCCTTGTAGTATGACGCAGTGCCCCAGGGAAGGTCCTTCGACCTATATGAAGAATTATTATTTATAAAGTTCCTGTTGAGACCATAGGCTGGTGGCTATATACCTTTACTGCACTTCCGTCATTCTTCCTAATATAAGTTTCTCCCCCAGTCATATGTGTAGTATCGCTGAGCATCAGGACCGCTACGTACGGGTAAGAGTCATGGCTTTCTTTCGTTAGCACGCATCACAATGCTTCGAAAATTGAACAGGAAGGATACAAGAAGAAAGCCAGAAAGAAAAGATAGACAGCAGGAGAGAGACAGGAAAGAAAGAGTGCCTACTGCCAAGGTATAACCGCACTCTCCCTAAGCGGATCATAGCCATCCTGCTCAACCATACAGACGCTGCTCGCTTTTGGTTCCACCTCAAGCTCCTTCATCAGATCATCCACTGTACAGCCAGCAGTTTGGATATTTGTGTGGCCAATTTCGATTGGCATGATTATAGTCAGTGGCACGCCAGCAACCTCAGACACAATTCTCATTGTCCCTGGATGCGTCCAGAGGTCAGAGATGAATTTGGAATGTTGGGCTAAATTCCGAAGAATAAATGTCCCAGCGCCATATGACTTCGCACAGTCTTGTAGGGTATGAGGCTTCATCAGACATCGTCGATACGCATGCACCCCTGCCTCGGAGAGGAATGGGAAGGGAGCACTTCCTGCTATTGGGGTTGATGTTTTCGAGCCTTTCAAGCCTAGGTCTTCCATGGTGAGCAGGGTGGCAGGAGGGGCATAGTTAAGGTGAACCTAAAAGCTATGTTGTTAGAATAGCTGGGGAAAAGATGCAAGTCCCACAACGGCGTACTTCGGGGTCAAAGATATCCTCGGTCTCATTACACCCAAGTTGCTTTTGCGTGTGCTCTCGAGTAGCTATCATGGTGTTCAACTCCTCAGACAAGATGAATAACTATCCAAACCGTGTGGTATTGCCTCGTACAAAAAGGACCAGAGCATGAGAGCTATATACGGGCCAGAATTCTGATAATGGGAAGTTCAATGTGACACGAATGCGGTGCACAGGACTTCCACTCCTTGTCAGGAAAACAATTCCACCTGTCCTTGGACAATCTATCATTCTTCTTCTAGGTTACACTGGCAAAAGTGTGAAGGACGTCAGCTGAGGCGGTGCTTTCTCCTGAGTAAAACTAAAAGGAGAAATATCGCATATTGCATGTTGAATGTTGTAGGATAGATATTCTTGGTCATTCTTAGGGATTTGGTGAATTCATAATCTTTAGTGCACACCCAGCGAAAGGGTCTGGCCTGGTCCTATTGGGAGGGGGATGGGAAGATAGGGATCTAGCACACTACAGATACCATACAGTAAGGATCGATGATAAGGAACGAGTGGGTTTATCTCGGTAGGACTCGGCAGGACACCGTTTGAAACCAAGATAAGAAAGAACGAGATGTTTTTAGTTTATTAGTTAGGGTAGTGGAGTGGCAGGTGATCCAGTAATGGATGATTCGCTACGATCGCCGTGCGACAGTGGTTGGTTCGTCTAAGCGTCATCCCCGGAAAGAATTCCGTTGAACTTCTCCAACACGCGGATAACCACTTACTTCCATATCGAATGTCCAGACCACACCCCCACTAGATACGAGTCATTCAAGGTCTTCCTTCATCTCCGCATTGGATCCATCGGGATCGATGCGAATGTGTCGTTATCAGTTTACCTTCACTTAGCGCCGACTGAGTCGAAGATCGACGTCTGGATTCTGGATTAGTCGAATGGATCCCGCCTTGCTTATCCAGAAAGTGGTGCAAATGCTTAACCCCTCTCGAGATTACCGGCCTTTCGGCTAAGCGGAGAATATTCTACTGTGGGCATGATAATGATAGGTCGAAGCCCAGATCAGAGCGACGCGTCTGATTCCGCTGCAAGGGATGCGTTGTGAAGAGACCCATTTATTACCTTCCTTGCACCGCTCTTACACAGGGTTGACCCCTGAATGTAGCAGTGAGGCAATGCACCTGTCTATACTCGATTAGATCTATCTTCTCATTCCATCTTTTGAAACACAAGGGGCATTCCACATTGTCATTGCAGTATGATGCCGGAGGTGGACAGAAATGCCATCCCGGGCACATTTACTCTGGTGGATTTGGAGCGTACATTGGCCACGCGACATCTGGACGGAGGAAACAGTGACATTGTTCTCGTTCCCCAGCCTTCGGATGATCCTGATGACCCACTAAACTGGTCGCCACGACGAAAATTACTGTCGACCATCTGTGTCAGTTCGTACGTCTTCGCACACCTGTAATGACACATTGAGCACGAGCTAATCGCCTTTTGGATCTGAAGGTATACCTTGTTCGCAGGTATTGCATGCTCAGTTGTCTACTCAGTACTCGTTTCACTCTCCGAGGAGACAGGGGTTTCTGTTGGCACTTTAAACGAAGGCACAGGATATATGTTCCTGCTTGCAGGATGGGGTCTACTATTTTGGCAACCATTCGCATTGCAGTATGGTAAGCGGCTGACATACATAGTCTCATTGGTCGGAATGATGGTAAGTCTAGATCACTGATAGACGAAGTGTATTTCTAACATGGTTATGCGGCTAGGGCACGCTGATCTGGGGGTATGTACAGCTTCAACTTCACTTTGATCAATTGACACTGACGGGCCAGTCCTTATATAACGAGTAATGGACAATGGATCGCTCGGAGCGTCGTGACTGGCTTTTTCTTAGCGCCAATCGAGGCCCTTCCTGAAATAACCGTCACGGATGTGGTACGTATCCCAATGAGACATCGTCGCGATCCAATCTGACGGGACCAGTACTTCACGCACGAACGCGGAACGTATATGGGTCTATACGCCTTCTTCCTGGCCGGCAGTAACTATTTTGCCCCAGTTATATGTGGCTTCATTGCCGAGTACCAGGGTTGGCAATGGGTATTTTATTACCCTGCCATTTTCTGTGCCGTCACCGCTACGTTCCTTTTCTTTTGCATGGAAGAGACGAATTATACGCGTGAAGGTGTCGAATGTACCACATCGGCGCTCCCAGTGAACCCGTCTTCTTCAACATCCGGGAAAGACGAGCAAGAGAAAGCTGACCCTGTTGATACTCGACATACGGACACAGAGGCCGGTGAAGTACATAATGTGTACCATAAGAAAACTTACATCCAGAAGCTGTCACTTCTGGGACCGCGTCAGCCCAAAAATCACATGCTTAGACGGCTCTGGCATGGGTTATATTATTTGAGCTGGCCAGTTGTGTTTTACGCAGGGTAAGTTTAGAAGTCCCAGTCGATCGGAACCTTGGAAAGGTAACTTGCGAAACAGCTTTTCCTATGGCTCGTACCTGATTTTTTTCAATGTGTTGAACGCAACTGCCTCAATTATTCTTGGCTCTGCCCCATACAACTTCAGGTATTTAACCCGAGAGAGCCAACTGGATCCATATCTTACTGAAAAAGCACCGCAATTGTCGGCCTTTCCTACATTGCTTGTTGTCTAGGCGTGGGTCTTGGGTATGTCTCCCCACCTTGAGGGTGCACATCGTTGCAATACTAACTGATACATAGCGCCATCTTCACCGGTAGATTCAGCGACTGGCTAACGATCCGACTCGCTCGACGGAATAATGGAATCATGGAAGCCGAACACCGTCTTTGGCCGTTCCTTATCTGTCTCGTGATCCTCCCGGGCTCATTGATACTCTGGGGCGTTGGCGCAGCACATCAGGTCCATTGGTTTGGCCTCCTAGTAGCGATGTGCTTTATTGCGATGGCGAATACGTGTGGCGTCACCCTTAGTGTGAACTACCTCGTCGACAGCTACCGGGAGCTAAGTGGCGACGCGATGACAAGCATCATCTTAGTTCGAAACACGATGTCTTTCGCTATCGGTTACGGGCATGTCATTCATTCTTTGTCCACATGTAGCGGTGCATGCTAACGGGACACAGCATCACCCCCTGGATCAACAACATGGGCTACCAAAACTGCTTCATCTCCGCCGCATTTATCGGCATGGCCTGCGCAGCCGTCTTCCTCGTCATGATAAAATACGGCAAGACACTACGTACACGCAGCCGCGAGAAATACTGGAACCGCGTTGTCGAGAACCGGGAAAAGGGAATGACGCATTAGACTTGCAGTACGCAATAAATCGGACGCAAGCCCTATATTCATTTCTACCAAACAACCAAGTCTCAATACAATTACAATGTACCCACTAAAGCATAGGCACTCACTCCACCAAATGAATATCCCCTTGATCATTATACCCAATCTCCCGAACCTTGACACTCCTCAGATGACTCACTCCCTTGGAAAGCTCACAATCATGATAAAAGATGTACCACCGTCCCCCAAACTCCACAATCGAATGATGTGTCGTCCACCCTAACACCGGCTCCAAGATCCGGCCCCTGTACGTAAACGGACCCAACGGACTCTTCCCAGTCGCGTACGCAATATAATGCGTATCGCCGGTCGAATAACTGAAATAATACGTGCCGTTATATTTGTGCATCCAGGAGGCCTCGAAAAAGCGTCGCTCATGATCATCTGCCTTGAGCGGGCTGCCCCCCTCATCCAGAATAACCAGGTCCTGCACAGGCGTCGCAAACCCCAACATATCATCCGTCAACTGCGCAACGCGCGGATAGAGAGCAAGCTCATTCTCCCCAGACGGCTCCTGAGGCCCCGTCTTCGAAGCATCAAACACCCATTCCCCAGCATCTTTCGACCAACACTGTAACTGGCCGCCCCAGATACCTCCGAAATAAAGATACGCCTTCCCATCATCATCCACAAAAGACGCAGGATCGATGCTATAACTCCCCGCGATATAGCTCTCCTGGGCCGTGAACGGTCGCTCCGGTTTGTCGGCCACAGCGACCCCGATCCGGAATATGCCCTCGTGGTCGCGGGCGGGCAGGTAGAGATAGTATTTCCCATTCTTGGTGGCCGCATCAGGCGCCCAGAGCTGCTTGCTTGCCCAGGGAACGTCGGCGAGGCCCAGGACGACGCCGTGGTCCGTTACGGGGCCGGAGATGGAGTCCATGGAGAAGACGTGGTAGTCATTCATGTCGTATTGGTCGCCATTGTCGTTGAATTGGATGTCTGTTTCGCGGTCGTGGGAGGGGTAAATGTAGAGTTTGTTGTTGAAGACGTGGGCGGAGGGGTCGGCGGTGTAGATGTGGGTTATTAGAGGGGGATTATTGGAACTGGACATTTTGAGTGATTGTGATTGTTAGTGAGGAATTTTGATTCTGTCTTTGTACGATTATTTGGGGTTGGGGGGATATGAAGCTGTACTTAGTTTGTCATGTTGTTCTTTTTATATGGTAGGTCTTCTAGTTTAGCCGGACAGCCTAAACATGAATACCAAGAGCTTTCCCCGCAGGTTTACCCCGCGGATAAATGGTTTCCGTCAGTTATCGTTAGGGCTGCGTTGCGCCGTGGCGGGAAAACTTGGCTGATTTCTGTGTGTACCTGGCGGGTGAGCCATGGATAAATACGAGGCTAAGTATATGGATTATGGACTCACTTATCCAAGTTGACAAGAGCTACTAAGTATGGAACATGACTTGGGTGCATTTCTGATCCACTAGATTTACTATGTCATTAGGTACATTTATTCTATCGAGAAAGGTGATTCTGCTCGGAAGAAAGAAACGTAACATCATGAAAGGACAGCCCATCGTGCAAGGTAAGAAAATCATAAATGGGCGTTAAAGTAGGGCACAACATTGTATGAATGACGAGAATCACAGGGTGAGATTGAGAAAGGTGACTGAATATAGATCTCATGATACTTGCAGTAACCATAGTTACTACGCCGTTCAAAGAAGGCGACAGACCCAGGAGAAACGAACAAACAAAAACCCCAAGAAGAAAAGAGAAACAGCGTACGTATAATGCTGGAGGTACTAGATGACTAGGCTTGTCTAAGTCTAATGGAGGAAAAAATGAAGCCTTGCAAGACATAAGCTTGGGCGTTCGAATTTGGAACGAGACACTAAAGGGAGCGACTCACTATCAGGTCTTTGGTCACATAAAACCTTCCCATAACTTGAAGCGATGAGTGACGATATTCAACTTTCGTTCCACTCTTGATCAATGAGCTCTAGTAGCTCTGTCTCAGTTTCTTGTTCCATTCCCCATGAGTATGACTCCTGTTCTTCCGCTGGGGTCTCGCAACGCTGGAGCCCGATGAACCGACCGAACCGCCGCCGCTTAGTCTCAATGTCCACGTCCTTTTCGTTTTCTGTACCAACCCAGGGCGGGATAACCACGGGATAGTAAGAGGTCGCGGGGGCTGGTGGCCACACTTGATGATAATGGATGGCAAGCTCATCTAGTTGTCGAGAAGTCAGGAGATGGAAGGCGAGGAGAGTAGTAGGGAAGTCTGGGTGTGCGAGGGCAGTAGTGCTGGATACCAAAGGATACAGGGGAGTCCGTAAGTGGGTAAGAGTGGGGACAAAGCATGGGTGGTGCCGTCTGTGTCTCTCATCGGTCGTCGATCCTGGGACTGCTGAGCGCGTGGTGGGACGTGGCAAGCATGTCACTCGGCGTTCTGGAGCAACAATACTGGCAGAATCGACCACAGTGTGAGAATGAGGTGAAGAAGCCCTGGCCTCTGGCATACTGAAGAGGCTCCCGAGCACTAGGGCCGGTTATTCAGTCGAAATACGGATCGGTGGTTTCCAGAAAGCACTCGGCCTTTGCCTATAGAAGCGCGTGTCAGAAAAGCGTAAATGAACGTTGGCAGATCAGGTCACAGCGGTTGACTGGCTATATATTGTGCGACAGTCTCAGCAGAGGCTCACGGAGAAAGAACTCTTTGTCCTGCACGGGCTCAATGACGGCTTCTATGGGGCCATTGTTACCGAGCCTTTGTCCTGGGTCAAACGGGGTTTCACTGTAAGCGGAGAAGCTTAGTCCAACGCCGTTGTGTCCGTTATTCATGGACAAGGTCAACGGGGGTGGTGAATAGTGGTTTCAATTGCGATCAAAAAGGTGCATTGAACTATATAAATCATTATGTATCCCGTCCTTGGATCTTGAAAGCGCCACCTGATAGGACAAAGCCCGGACTGCAGTTGCGCCGGGTAGAAATAATCAATTCATTACAGAGACATATTAGCCACTCCAGTTTCCAAATCTGTGCCATTTTCCGACGGCAGCCCAACAAACTTGTTGATGAAGTTGAAGATGGTGTGGTGCCACATGAGGGAATTCTCTGGGTTTAGTACCCAATGATTCTCATCAGGAAACGTCAAAAATTGACTCTCCACGCCCCTCATTTGCAAGACATTGAAGGCACTAAGTCCCTCCGCAATCGTCAACCGATAATCCCGTTCATTATGGATAACCAAGTGGGGTGTTTGCCAGTTGCCTGTGAATCGGGAGGGATCCCACTTGTCCCAGTTCTCTGGGACTTTCCAGTAGGGGCCCTGGAGGTCTCGAACAGGGAAGTAGAGCTCTTCAGTGCTCAACAGTGCCCGCATACTGAAGATACCATCATGAGTCACAAGAGCCTTGAATCGGCGACCAAGGTCATGTCCCTGGATCCAGTTCACCATATACCCACCGAATGACGCCCCCAGGGCCACAGCTCGAGTTGTGTCGACATAGTCCAGGTTCTTCTCAATATAGTCAAATCCCTTTTCGAGATCGATGTAGGGTCGTTCTCCCCAGGAACCACAAATTGCATCTGTAAATGCCTGTCCATAGCCGGTACTGCCTGTGGGGTTGGGAGTGATGACCACATACCCTTGCTCAGCAAAAACAGCGGGATTCCAGCGCGTGCTCCACTGATCATTCCATGCTCCTTGCGGACCTCCATGAATGAGATAAGCGAGGGGATATTTGTTCCCAGGCTTGAAGTCGGATGGCTTCACAACCCAGGCATGCACGGGGTGGTCCTCAGCTCCCCTGAACCAAATTTCATCGACCTGCGCTGGAGACAGTCCAAAGGCAGCACCGCCACGAGACAGTGAAGATATGGCCTTGGGGCTCTCGGGAGACTGCGGGTCGACAATCGTCCACCGGCTGTTTTCTACCAAGCTGTTGCTCGAGACCAGTAGCTTGGATGATTTGGCTGATGCAGGGAACACATCAGTCACATACCCCGAGTGTGTCAGCTTCTTCAGCGCAGAGGGGCGAGAATGACGGAAGTTAGCTAGGGGAAGCTGGTATAGAACACCACGGCCATTTTCCTCTACTTGAACGAAGAGGGACTGGTCGTCGTTTGCGAATGTCACGGCTGATGGACTTAGATGCCACAAACCCTCTCCATCCGGGGACGCGAAAGCTTCTATCATCTCTCCACTCCAGGGGTTGGGCACATAGAGTATTCTGTTCTTGTCAGACTCATAACCATCTTCCCTCATTGCAAGGAGAGCGATAGAGCTGCCATCTGAGGAGAGGACGGGGGAAGACATGGCTCCTTCAAGGCCCTTGACTGCATATATCTTTTGAGACTCCAGTGCAGTCACACTAGTCCAAGAAAACATCGGACAATAATAACACGAGCAGGTGGTGTGCGTGGCAGGGTTCTCATTAGGATCCTTAGCTACGAAGACAATTGCGGAGGGGCTGATGTCAAAATCTCCAGAGCCCCCAAAAGGTGGGATCGGTGATTCAACGCCGGTTAAACCGCATACTGAGATCAGGTTGGTTAATCCCGAAGTTGAGTACTTGCCTGCATGTCTAGTAGCAGGGGTCAGCGGGGCTTGTTGTAATAGGCCGTACCAGATCGAATTCCTCTGGGGTTCGATGTACGAGTCCCAATGCCTGACATATAATGAGGAGTACAGTTTCCCGGTAGTGTGAGGCTTTTTAGCATCATGAGGGTTATAAAGGGACCCATCCGGATTCGCCTGGCCAGTTACAGCGAACCCAATCTTTCCTGGCTCAATGGTGGTGACCTTGAGGTTCGCCACTGGTCCAGGGACTGTTCCAGCAGTGTATGTCTTGCCTGCCTCTCGAGCATGCCCGATTATGAAGCTCGTATTGCCGTTTGCCTTTGTTTTGAGCCATATTAAACGGTCATCGTTCCCTAGCCACTGAGGAGAGCTCGCACTTGGATCATTTGTGATGAGAGAAGATCGGCCTGTGGTGATATCCACTACTCGTATTTCGTTGGTTTTGGCATGCGACTCGAAGGAGTAGGAGGTCTGGGTATACACAGCCAAAGTGCCGGATGAATTGGGCACAGCAGCAGACCGCCGAGGAGCTCCCAATAGGAGCCTAAAACAGTCATCAAGTTAACAATCTGTTGAGCCAATAGGTACCGGAAGGACAATTGAGATATGCGCTTGCATTTCTGTGCTCCTGACAAGAACAGTGAGAGTGGGGGACTGTGAACTTACTCTGGTGTGAACTTCATTGGACGAATGGTCATGACAGATCTCCAATTAACTATAGGGTAGTAGGTACCCACTGCTGGGCCGCAGTAGGTAGGTTTATAAGAAAGGAGCTATATAGATATAGAAGAGAAAGTGGAGGATCTGTAGATAGTGATGAGAGAAGATTTCAGGGAGGTTTCGAAAGGAAGAAGCAAAGGAGACCAGGTGGCGTGAGAGGGAGAAAAGGCGGACCTTGTTGGAGAAGCAGAGCATTAAATGCGGAGATCATGGGATGATGGGTCACGCTGCGCTATCCCCACTTGGTCCCCATCGACGCTAAACTGAAAATCATCCATGTCAATCCACCGGAACCCGAATTGGGTAATGAGCTACTGATAGGTAGTGCACATGACTCAAATCCTAATCCTAGGAATCCTGAACATCTAGATTGTTTTTTTTTCTTTCCACATTACAGCTTATAATTACACACAAACATGGACCAAGGTAAAGTCATCATACAAAGGTCAACCCTAGAGTACCGAATAAATCAAAATATCTCTTCATGAATTCTCGTCTTTACTCCTCGTCTTCTTCGCTCTCGTCTTCTTCCATCCCCTCGGCGGCGGTGACATTGAAAGTTGGCGCTTGGTCAACACCCACATAGCTGTCGCTCATCAGGTACAATGTCAATTCATGGTCGCCAGGGGTAGGAACGATGTATTCGAGACGTAACTCCAACTTCCGCCCAACGGTAACTCGTTTGATCGCAAGCAAGCTCTTGGTCTTCTCATCTCCCACGACCAACCACCAGTTCTCCATCTTCTTGTTGGTGTAGAAGGGCGCGTGCACCGTCATATCGGGTTCCTCATCTTCTTCGACC